CTCCTCCTCCTCCACCCTCCTCCTACTCCTGCCTCCCAACACCCCCAACCCGTTTTTAAAATGAGCAAAGTGACTGTTGTTGGATCAGTATCAAGCCAGTGTTGTGCCGTAAGACGTTTGTCCGTCATTACGATGCTGTGGTGACCTGAGATCCAGTTTTAGCACTGAGTGGCATGGAGGCTCTTTTCTGCTACGGATAGAACAAAAGCTATATTGAAAGAGAATAAACCATTTTTATTTAAAGACGCGTGTGTTGGACTTTCATTGACTCAGAAAGAGGTGAAATTCCACCTTTTCTGTTTTTCAAATGGCCGAATCTACAATCCAGATGGCAGTGGTGGAAAAGTACATTTACTCCAGAGTATATACTTGTCATGCCACGTTCTGCTTCTACTCCACTACAATTCAGAGGGAAATATTTGTACTTTTTACTCAACTACATTTGTCTGACAGCTTTAGAGACTTGACAAATTACGTTTTTTTTGTAAATAGAACATGTGAAAAGTTTATTACAAAAATGTGACTACCCAACAGTTAATTAAAGTGTAGCTGCAACAATCAATAAGTCAATGAGAGAAAACTACTTTGATCATACTAGTAATATTTCATGTAAGAACAGTTGATGGTTCTAGACTACCTTTTCTCCTAATTGTAATGCATTTGTATTAATATTGAGGTCTGAGCAAGACAAACTTGATGGCATTTCCCGCTATTTTCACTACTTTTACAAAAACCAAAACATGAGCAGAAATGACCTCCAGCAACCAGAGAGTACAATCCTGCTATTACATTAATGTTTGAGTTATAATCTGATGATTTAATATATAATAGTATGAAACGTTTTTTTCTATCCGACTGCAGACTGACGAGATTTTACCAGTAGTGAAAGAAGATATCAGATTTTTTTACTTAAAGTAAAAGTTGCAATATTATAGCTACAGGTAAATGTCCTGCTTAGTAAGTTTAAGTGTTACTAAAATATAAGTACTCATTATGCATAATGTCACATTTAGAGTATTAAATTGTGGGGCTCACAGGGTCCATTCTTATGTACAAAAGAAACATTTCCTAGGTGAATTTGTCAGCAGTGATTGTTTTGATGCTTTATGAAAAAGACCAGAGAGCTAATTAAATGTGTACTTTTTAATAAATAAACTGGAACTTCAAGATGCTTTCCAGAACATAAAACACTTGTGCAACATTCGTGCGTTACATATAGGTGCATTCGTTTCGGCGAATCCAGGGCAATGGTTTGATGAGGTCAGCATACGACCACCTGCTCCAATTTAAAACGTACATCTGCTTACCCAATGGCTGAATTTGTAAACACAGCAGAATCAATTGTTCAATTACACAATGGTCTTTGGGTCCAAAGTATTTCAAATGCATCACATGAATAGAATTCACATTTTGTCAAGTTGTATTTTTGAGTTAAAAACTGGAACTACTAATGCTGTTTAGCCCACATCCCGGCTTTATTTCAGCTCAAAAACGGCTTGGCCCAAACTGAATGCCCTGACTGACATCTGAAGTTTTAAGTGTCAAACGCATAATAAAAAGCAGTCTAAAACCACACAGCTAGCTACAGCAGATGAGCTTGACACCCATCGAAGGCACACCCACAACACCCCCGCTTTCCCCTCAGCCAGTGACTCATGCCTGAGTGAAGAACCATGATGAATGGCTGCTTCTCTAAAAGCATGACAGTGAATTTAAATTGCCGCTTTTTTTTTTACATGTAAAAGAAAAGTTCTACATTACTGCAAATTCACTCATTGGCTTATTTTGCAGAGAGCTAGAGGAGAAGATTGATACCACTAATATCGACATGGCTGGTGTTAAATATGAAGCAACAGCCGGTTAGCTTAGCATAAATAAAAACAGCTAGCTTAGCTCTAAATTCCCTTTTTTATGTAGTGTTATTTGCAGCAATATTTCTGGTTGTACAAAAGTACATACAAAAAACCAGCTCTGCTTTTGTTCTGAAAAGTACAAGTTTTGTATTATACATAAGGCTGTAATTAGCTTATTAAGCTAACATTAGCTCCATTAATTAAAATAAAGTTATGAATAGCTGACTCATTGTCGATATATATTAATGTAAAGTTTCTTAAATGCACTTGATGAATGTACACATATAATGCAAAAAGACTGATGCTAAAGCCAATAATTAGCATTTAGTAGCTATAGTATAGCTAGTCCTTGTGTTAGAAAACATGTAGGTTCCGACTGCTCATTCTCACGCATACATGTATTTCTAAATATCATGATTTTATCTTCACAGGAAAAGGCTATCATAATGAGGTTCTAACTGATGTGTTAATGGCAACATCTGGAACCGCGTCTGAAAAGTAAATGTCTCTCAATTAAGGAGCGGGACAGAGCCGCTAAAATTAGCCTAAACACTGTGATAAAGGGCTGCACAGTGGATGTTTTTGTCATGAGTGTAGCCTTTAACTACATAAACAAAAATGATATGCGTCTTGGCTTTGGAGATTGGAGGCATGCTAACATTTGAGCAAAAAAAAACACTATTTATTAACCTTTCCTTTCTCCTGGTTCTTCGGTTTTAGGTTTGAGTAAGACCAATTTTTCAAACAACATATCTATCTCTTTCGAGCCCTATGGAGCTAGCCTCAATGGATACATTTGAGTTTCCAAGCTATGATTGTTCAATCAATGCTCAGTGTAGGGTCAATTGCTGTTTTTATATTTCGGACAGAGCGAGGCTAGCAGTTACATGTGACCGATATTAATCTTCTCATCTACATTTCTGTAAAAAAAAAATATCCTTCACTTTAGCATGAGAAAGTTTGGCTTCTGCAGAGGGGGAGCTAAGGGACGGGGTCACATCACAGTAGCTTATTGATATGAAAAGACCACCAAGGACACTGCTTAGACAGTAAGAGCTGATTTTCTTCTTAATAACACTGATATCTTTAAAAAGCACCCTGGAAAAGCTTAAATACTTCACCAAGTCCACTGGCACTTGACAACTTAATGATTCATGGTCTCAGTAAATATATCCCCAGGGTTTATAATATGTCCGTGCTTGGTGTCTTTTTAAAAATGCAAAATATCTAAGGCATAAAAGCAATGCTGTATAAAATAAAAAAGTTATAAAGCTAAGACCAGAGACATTCATTGTGTTCTCTTAAAAGTAAAAAACTTAAATAATTGCATAAATAAGCATGTGATTATGTATAAATCTGTACATGACATGATAGTGGTGTCCTGTACAGGCGCTGAGAGCAGTGATTATGTATGAGTCTACATATTTAATGTTGGTTACATCGCAGAGTTGCAGTATTGAGGTAACTTCATAATAGGAGTAAAGGCGAGGAGGGTACATGCAATTGGACAAAATGTATATAGAGGTGTTAGTGTGTTTGTCCCTTTTTGTTCGTAACATTCAAGTTTTTACAAAATTTGCTAAAATAAAGCATAATACTGATTTCTTTTAGTGATATCGAACACACCACGTGCTCCACGTCTTCTTCTTTGATTCAGGTGGTGCGGGGGGGGGTCTCAGGGTAGCAGGTGTTGAAGCGCTGAATCGTCCAGTTCGTTGACGGAGACGATGTGATCCAGGTGTTGCAGGTAACGCTCCTGGTCCCGCATGAAGTGAGGGATTCTGGTCCGTGGGAGGACAGCCAGGGGACGCAGCCTCTCCACGTCTTCGAAAGACACCTGAAGAGAGGAAGAAGAAGACGAAGAAGAAGGTGCATCGGTGGAGGGGAACACCTCTAGGACAGTGGTGGGGGTACATTTTCTCAAACTCTACATATTTAAAAAAGGTATTTGAGAATTTAATTTAATTCAACTATCTACATCACTGTCAGAGGTACATTTTGACAGCTTTAGTTACTTTTCAGATTGGTTTTCTTTGGATAATGCATCAGAAATCCTCACAGAGCTGAAAAAGGGCTGTTTTTTTCCCCAGGACAATGCTACAGACATACAGTATGAAACTGTTACGGAAAATAATTGATTGCGACCTCTCAGTTTATAGAATTACATTTTATACTGAAAACGTCCTGCAGGGGTCAGAAGCTGCACATCACCCTTCTTTAAATCTGTACAGGAGTCTGCATTTTTAAAATCAATCCAAACAAGCCGATAAGACATTTTTATTATAATCTTTTGATATTTTAGGACCTGGTTTAAAGTTGTTTATCTACTTCATTATTCCCAGAAGTTAAAAGCGGTTTAGAGATAAGGGTTCCTTACTTACCTGCCATATAGTAATCGTTGTATTAGGAACAAAGGCTCTTATTATTTGAAGCTGACGACACTGACCTTGCCTAAAGAAGTCAACATCTTGAAGTCAATGTTCCTTCGATGCCTAAGGATACGAAGGATCCCATCCAGGTAAACCTGATCTTTACTGAAGCAACCTGAGAAAAACAGACACACAACTTGCAGGAAGACATCAAATAAAAGTATAATCTTTCAGGAAGACCCCTTCATAATATAAAGATAACTTATGGAGAGGACTGGGTTTCGTCTCTCAGTCTACATTAATGCTACTTTCTTGTTCTCCAATTGGTATCTTGTAACAATAGGCTGTATTACATTTGGACACACTGTGTGTTTGTGTGTGTGTGTGTGTGTGTGTGTGCGTGCGTGCGTGCGTGCGTGCGTGCGTGCGTATGCTGACCTGGCTCCGAGGTGTCGGTCTGCCCCCTCTTGGCTCTCAGGCAGTACTCCCAGCGGACGTCGGGGTCCTGTACGAAGCGGGCGATGTGGCTGAAGACACGGCTGAAGCTCATGCTGGCGGCATGGTACACGGTGTAGTACAGCAGGGCGGCACGCCACAGGTAGGGCTGTTTCCGTAGCAACACGCTGTGCAGGCTGGCCAGGCCCTCCTCTGTGGGATTGGCCGGTTTGAGGCCGAACTGCTTCCTGCCTTCAGTGGTGCACCACGGCTGCAGGTTGTTGTTCACCCCGCGCAGGTAGTGTGTGCCTGAGGAGAGCATAAAGGGCCATGAGTCAATCAACATGGAATCTTTGGTTATTTTATTTCCCTTTTTTCACTTTCTATTATTTTGTTTTTGTATCCATTATTTTATGCCGTTTTTCTTAGTTTCTTTAAATTTTTCAGTTTATTTACCTATTTCTACCATGTTTTTAGTAAGTCGTATTCATATAGTTAATTTTTCTTCCATTATAATTGGTTTAGTTCTGTTTTTTTTTTTCTTCTATGGCCTTGTTATGAGAAGGTAGTATCTGATGCTAACCTAACTCATAGTACTGATCGGTTTACGGAAATGTTATTGGGATACTATTTCATTATTAAGCGCTTTGAGCACCAGGAAAAACGCTTTATAAATGTAATGTATTATTATTATTATTATTATTATTATTATTATATGAGGTTGGTTGTGTTTTTTCTTTTGTGAGACATCTTTTCAACCCGCTGGTAAACAACCTTTATCCAAATGTCATCTGTGCTCCTCTTTTTCTCCAAACAGGTCGGATATCAGCATGATAATGTTATTGGTATCAGATGGGTCAGTTTAAGGTGAATTTAGTGATGCCTACTGATCAAATGTCAACATGTTCCATTGTTTTCTTCTAACTTCTCCACCCAGTGAATACACTACTGTTTCTGTAGCTGCTAGTTACACTAAATGTTTTTCCTGTACAACATTAAAGGATGTCGTTGTGTAACCCTATTTTGTCAATGAGAGCAAAGATTAAAAACTTTTTTTTAAACCTGAATGAATCAACTCTGAACTTCAAAACTTCTGCAAATACACTCAATGAGAGATTCCTGTTGTGTTTGATGATTCATTAAATATCCAACTACTTTGTTAATGATAGGATTCTCTGTGTTTGAGCGGCAGCATACCGATCTCATGTCTCAGCATCCCCTCCAGCCAGTACTGCCGAGCTCCGGCCAGGTTGATGGTCAGGGTGGGGCGACAGCTCTCCACCACCATCACCGCCTGAGAGAGCAGCTCGTCGGACAGACGCACCACCACCTGCACACACGCACACACATCCTTATTAATGATATCTTATTCCTCCTCCAAATCCTGGCTGGATTTTTCGTACCAATACGATTTTGAGTGTTCAATCAGAACTAAATGTACAAACAGTTTCCATCTTAGGCAAATAGAAAGGTTAACTGTAGCTGCTCAAGGCCGGACCTAGTTTGTTAGCGGCCCTATTGTGCTTTTGGGAGGTTTTCCCTTTCCTGTAATGTGTTATATGAGGAATTTTGTCCCCCACACACCTGCCTGAAATGCACCAATCGGACTCCTTTGTTTACTTCCGTGACATAGTAGACGGAAACATTGGTTTAATCTTTGACATTTTTTTGTATTTTACACCATTTCTTCATAATTTTTTATGTCAAATCTTAATCTGAAAAGTATTAAATAATGTGAGGAATAATAGTTGTTATGGGGGGAAAAAATATGATTATTTCCCACTGAGATGTAGTGGATTACCTTAACATCTTGAAGTACCTGAGAACGACTAATTCAATACTTCTCAGCAAAATAAGCATATGGTTGCAACTAACTAACAAATTAAGAATGATTTAAATTGTCTAATTTTCTACTGTTTATTAGTCAAGTTATGCCTACATTGTTTTTCCTCATATATTTTCAGATTTATCTACACGTTAATTTAATCTTTTCTTTGAGTCGTGTTATATCCAGAGGCTGAATTTGTGTGCTAGTGGTTATATGTGATGTACTTGTGCCAAGCTCAGGTTCAGGTGGAAAAAACATCAAACAAATCTCACTGCAGGACGGTAAGGGGGTGATTTTAGCAGGGTAGGTCAGGGGGAGGGTAAACACGGTGAAGACCACCAACAATGTATTATGTGTTAAAGACATCACAGACATCAAGTTCTCACAGTAAAGTCTAAAGCTTGTACCAATTGATGATAACACTGCAAGCTTTATACTTACATTTCTACTACAGCGTTTTTATTGGGCATTGTTAAATTAGATCAAAGATGTTGAGAAATTGTTTCTTAACTGGATTTCCTTTATCAAACTACACTCTGCACACATGTTGACATATATCAAACCAGAGGTGTGAATAATAACAATTCAATTAAGTAGAAAAACATTATCGTCACAAGTTTATGTCCCTGCCCGGATCGAAAAATACAGAGTTTGGACGGGTAGCTCGTCTGCTGGGGTGTCTGAAGTGTCCATGAGCAAGGCAGCTCAGACTTAATGCATTTGTTTGCGCATACAAGCATTTTGGGCCTAAATGTGGGTCACTTGAATAAAACCAAAACCTTTGTTTTTTCCTGCTGAACGTCAAAATACCTGCTGTTGTTTAAGTGTCTGTGCTGCATGTCACTCACCTCTCCCACGCAGCCTTCTTTCTGCAGATATTTACGAACAGCAGCCCAGACTTGACTTTTAGGGAGGATGCTGCCGCCTGTCACCACCTCGAAGTTCTCATAGCAGCCAAACTTCCTCAGGACACACTCCATGATCCCAACCGCCTGCAGTGGAACATAAAAATCATCATCACCATCATCATGTGAACTCACAGTTGATATGTGCCGATGTGCAGTACTGTGCCTGTTCCAGGAAGAGGCCAGATCCCTCTCGGTACTTGTCCAACACGCTCCTCGGCTCCGGCTGGGCGTACTCAAACTGAGGCTCGTACTTGTAGTCGGACTGGAAGAAAGTCTGCTTCTCCTGCTCCAGGTTGAGAGGCCTGAGGGCCACCAGCAGACAGGGCCTGGAGGATGTGGGCAGTGACCTCCCGGCCGACCCCTTAGGTATGTGTGGCAAGGAGGTGGCAGGCCGCATTTGCCCCCTGCTGGCTCGTAGACCGAGGGAGTAGTTGACGGAGCAGGTGCTCTCGCTGCGCCGCATCCAGCCTGCGCCGAGGCTCGGGCTGGTCAGGCTGCGTGTGGGGGGTGAGGGGGCGGCCGGACCACTGCGCCAAGGGGGCTGCACCATCCGCCTGTCTGCCATCTGCTCCTGAGACCCTCTCAGCCGCTGGGGTGTCATCTCCAGGCTGAGGGGGCGGCGGAGAGGCGGTCTTGGAGTAGCCCCGCCTTTGGATGATGATGATGGCGTCCTCTGTGCCTGGCTGCTGTTCGTCTCGGTCGGAAGTCCATTTTGGGACACCTTCTCTTTCTTGGCATCATTGCTCTTCTTGGCAGGAGGTGTGGCTTTGGTTGGATCTGCTCGGACGTTTGGCTCCATCAGGTCCCTGCTGCTCCCAACACTTTCACCCTCAACCTGATCCATGAAGACTTCAACCGAGTCTAACACCATCACCACGCCCGCTACGCCTCAGTCTCAACCTTCCTCCAGCCCCAACGCTGTGGGCACACAGATTCATGCATACTGCTTACTGTTGCGAGTGATGGCGTTTGTGTGACAGATGAGGAAAAAATGGGTTGATGTCTTTCACTACACATGGTGGAAGTCCTGCATTCAAACCTACATTATAAAAAGTAAAAGCAGTCACTGCGCAAAAATGTTCAAATGTTAATGTCATATATTATGTTTTTGGATTGATACAACTAGGTGTATGTTGCATTTTTCTTCTGAAGATATTTAATGTTGTTTTAATTGTAACTCTTTTGTATATAGAAATTCTATGAGATCATCTTTGAAAGTAGAATGTATTATAACTTAGAGTTACAGCTTTGTTATGATGCAATCTCCAGCTGATCCAGGGGGAGGCTGAAGCAAAAAAGCTTTGAAATACTTTTTTTAAATAATAGGAGAATTGTATCACACTTCATCCCTGTCAGACAAATGCAGTGTAGTAAAAGGTACAATATTTCCCTCTCAGATGTAGTGAAGTAGAAGTATAATGATAAGAGTGAAAAACTCAAGTAAACACAAGTACCACACATGTTTATCCAAGTACAGCAGTTGAGTAAATGTACTTAATCCACCACTGATGCTGCTTATTGTTGCTGCTGGTATGAAAGAGGAGGACACGAGGCTGATGTCACTGTCAGTCACTGCTGATGCTTTAATTAGATTACAGTTGAGAAGCATGTCAGTGAATGTGTCAGTATGTATGGACACAGATTAACCAACAGGAAACAGACAGTCCATGTTGTCTGGACAGGAACAAAGCACCCATCAGAAATCAGAAATCATAAAGTATACAGCTAACCACTAGTAACATACTAAGCTAACAGTTACTTATATTACATGAAAGAACAGAATACATTTTAATTTTGAATTCTCCATGGAGACAGTAGACCAAATAACAGACACAGGGATTAATTCTGAAGACAACTCTTAAAGAGCCCTTTAACTCACAAACTTAAATAAATAAGCTTACTTACCGAGGAACAGCGAGTCCCAGGACTTCTTTAAAGATGCCTGCCGTTTCGTTCACTCATTCCGGCCTCAGCTCCACAAACCGGGCCGAGGAGGCTGTGTGTTTGCCGGGGAATGATGATAATTAGCGGAGAGCGGTTCAGTAAGGAGCGGGGCCTGAGGCGCCTGCCTGGGCCGGCCAGGAAGGAAGCGGCGGTTGTGTTGGAAGATATGACGCGTTACGCCGGTTACGTCTGTACGTCATGACGCTACCCCTTGCGTCCTTAAAAAAAAACAAATTATGTCAAATACAGAATAAGGCACATTGACATCAATGTTCATCATATAAGCGGCACAACTTTATATTAAGGTACACAAATTAACCATCAACTAGTTGTTAATTAACATGCATATTAACAGTATATTGGCTCTTTATTAGTCATTATAAAACACTTATTAATGCCTTATTCTACATGACCATATTCTACAAGTAATAGGCCATTAGTTGAGAGTTTTTCCTCAATAACCCTGTAATTAGTCCTTATTTATTGCAAGGAAGGAAGTTGTTGTATATGAGCTTTGCTCTCCTCAATATGTCTAAATAACTCAAAATTAGGTATTTCTATGTTCCCTTGTCTTGTTCATAACCAATAAGCTAGTAATTTGACTCTAATTGACCTGAACAGGTTCCCTATTCTAAAGTTGCCTCCTTTTCACACTTTGTAAATACATTATAGCACACAACTACTGAAATTAACCTCAACAGTACATGAACAAAGTAGGCACACGTTGAAATATCTGTTTTACTAATGAACCACTCAAGAGAGGTTCAGACACATGTACCAAAACATGTCAAGTTTCTCCAAGGCTGAAAACACATAATGCAGCCTGTAATTTTTAATAAAAACCGATTTTTAACAGAGTTTATGTATTTGTGATCATACTGTGTGACCTGCTTGTATACTTACACACTAGGTGTACTGTTCTCTCTCTCTCTCTGTTGTACTGTCTCAGTGTGAACATAGATTAAACAGCCCGCCAAACTCTTTTGAGAGCCAGGGAATGAGCAGCCATGCTCCTTTATTGACTTGTTTGCAGTCCACTGACATTCAAACGGAGTGAAACTATAAAAAAAGAAGTTACAAGGCACTTAATGATCTCATACATGCAAGTGTAACATATACACAGATTACTTGTAAAATATGGTCATGTGGAATAAGTCATCAATAAGTGTTTTATAATGACTAATAAAGAGCCAATATACTGCTAATATGCATGTTAATTAACAACTAGTTGATGGCTAATTTGTGTATCTTAATATGAAGTTGTACCGCTTATATGATGAACATTGATGTCTATGTGCCTTATTCTGTATTTGATATAATTGTTTCAATGAAAAAAAAAAGATATAAGTCAATATATTGAGTTAGTAAGTCAATATATTGAGATAGTAAGTCAATGTATTGAGATAGCTAAGTCAATATATTGACTTACAGGATTTTTTTTTTTTCCTGTGGCGCAAACAGTCTTCCATAATATTGCATTACTCCATTTTTTTAAAACATATTTTTAATGCTTAAACACACTGCCGCTCCTGTATTTCCTAATTTTGGATCAATAAAGTATCTATTTATCTATCTATCTATCTAAGATATTTGTGTTAACGAGCAGTTGAACAGGTGTACCTAATAGAGTGGCCAGTGAGTGTATGTTGAGCAACTCCAAATATAAACCTGTAGCATAAGGCTATAAGGATGGATAAAGTGCATTTACTATAGCATATGTTTGCACACTTACGATTGGTGTCTATGCGTTAGCATATTTTTAGCCCTAGAACCTGCTCCTGCCACCTGTAGCTCCTTTGCTTTACGTCGTTGCTCAATAACATGTAATTGCTGCTATAAAGATAATAACGTCCTCTGTGGTGTTTAATAAAAGTATGATACTTGTTCAAATAATAGCCATGAGCAATTACCAGCCTTCTATATACACAAATATATTGTAGTTTTTACATCACATTTGAATTTGCAAATACATCAACATTCATCTATTAATCAGGCGGATACAAAAAGAAGGGCAAGGACCTTAAAAATGAGTGGCAATAATCTGAAAATAAGAAAGAAAATGTCCCCCACTCAGGCCCGGCTCCAGGATGAAATTGCGATTTTTTTTTCACAACAACGAAAAATACTGGCAATGTAATTAATTGACATCCACACCAAGCTTGTTTCCTTCCTTACTGCTCTACAATCTTTTTGCTTCTTTAATTTGTATCCGGATTTACCCCTCTCGTTCTGCGCTGTTCTTTCCTCTGATCTTTAACGATAGTACACTTATTAGAGCTGGCGACTTTGTTAAGAGACTAACATTGATTTCCTCCAAGTATAAATTGACATGGGTCGTAATATACCATAACCTTTTCCCTCTATCCCTTAACTCGTCGTTCCCTATACAGATTTACTTACTTACTTACTTACTTACTTAGCTATCTACTCTACACTGTAAGACCGAACAGTACAAGACTCTTGAAGAATATGGGTTGTTTTAACCCAAACATTTATAAAAGTTAATTCACCGCAAATTTTCTGATGACTATGAAGGTATGAAGCTGATTGTAATATTGTGTATACGGTATTCATCCACCTTTGGGGTCATTATCCTGGGGATTTACTCAAATGTTTTTACTGAATCTGTCTTACGTCATCACGTAGTGACTCCGCCCCCGACGTGCCTCAATGGCTCTCACCCATGCGTTCGATTTGAGTCCGCCATACTAGCTCCTCGTCGGGCACTGAAATCACTCCAAACTTTTCAGAAGTTACTATTGACCCAGACTCTCGGTCTCACTGCCGGAATCTTGATCGCGTCTACTCTGTAAGTTACGTCTTGCCTTTGCACAGTTATTTAAATGATGTTTTATAATTCGCATCTAATAGCACTTTGTGGTCGCATGGTGTTTGATTTGAGCTCTTGTTAGCTAGCCTAGATTTTAATATCGCCGTCTCTGAAAAATTATTTAAACCTGTAAGACATATTTCTATATTGCTTTAATTATATCTCAAAGTGGAACTTTTGTGTTGCAAAATTCTCTGGAAAATTCGAACCGCAAATGCAGGCAGTTTTTCCAATGGTCAAGTTAGCTTGCTATTTACAAAACATGCAGGGACGCAGGTTATGTACAACGTTAGTGGATAAAGAATGCTGGATAAAATTAACGTAAATCCTCTATGCCGTCTAATTTAATAAAACACGTAGCCCTGGACGCGGCACGCGGAATGGGGACCGTGTAGATGGGGCGGCTGAGTCCGATGTGCTGGGGTGGTATGGATCGTATCCTAATGAGACAAACAGCATCATCTGCTGGACCAACTACAGAGAAGTACAAATACCAAATCTGCACTTCGACCTAAATATAAGATTTAAAACTAAATATAAAAACTTCATACTGTAATTAAATGCATGAATGCTAGTTTAAAATATACCTTTTATACACATGTGCAATGGGTATAAAAGGTCATATTTTCTATATTAGTTGTATTTAAGTTCATTATTGTAATATTGTTTGGAATTGATTATTCATTTTTGTCAGTTCTTTGCATACTCATATATCGTACTCCATATATTTCAAATGATACATTGCACTGGATTTCATAGAATGATAGAAAAAAGCATTTGGATTATTTACAACAGTTTATCATTATAACTAGCCGGACTCGATTAAAAAAATTAATCTAATTATATACAGGCTTTGTAATTAATTAATCGCAATTAATCGCATTTTTAATCGATATAAAATGATTTGACCTAAGCAACAGTGAGAAGCCAATTTTTTTCACATGATTTTCTAGTTATACGCATTGAATAATGAACTGAATACATAAGCTTAAGCACCAAAACCATTGTTTTTATCAAGGAGTTTCTTAACCTATAGTTGCCTATAGCTAGTGATAATATTATGTTGCATATTGTTTTTTGCATAATATGTTTGTCTATATATGCATTTATTTAGTAAGTATAGTTACTTTGTTCAGAGTATTTCTGTAGCTCTTATTAGTAGTTTGATCTTTCTGTATATCTTTATTTATATCTACTTGTTTAAGTAGTGAGCGATCTAATACCTTTCAAGTACATTCATTAAAGGATTACCCACATAGATATATATATATCATCTTCTGTGTCTATGTATTTGTTCTCTTTATTAACAGACTGTTGTGATCAACCGTGATATTTACATTTCAGTGCGCGAGACTCTCTCGGAATATTCTCTGCCAATTATATATATATATTTATATATCTAGTTTTATATCTATATTCTCATTGCACCTATATTATTTTTATATTTATTATCTATTATAAGTGTCATTTAAAAATTAAAATAGAAAAAGTGGTTGTGAGGGGCCGGGGGTTGGGGGCGCCAGTGATTGACCTCAATCCTCCTATTGCTTCCAATTATCCTGATGAAAAATAAAATCTCTCTGTGTGCATAGGCCAGCTGTTTGGATCAACGCGAATTGGGTGGTTGGTGCCTTGGTATTCAGCGGTCGGGCTAAGCGTCCTTACTGCTAGCTTCACGCTAGTGCTTATGAGTTTGTGTCATGTGAGGTGATACTTGGAGTGAGGTGTGCTGCGGTGGGGTGATATGCGAATTCGCTTTTTGGCATAGTGCAGTAAGCAACCGTGCTTCTTATTTGACGCTTCCATCCGTCCGTTTTTGAAAACAAAATGATCCCATCCACGGGCCAACCAAGCGGTCTCATCACTCTTCGTTCGACGTTTGACTATTGTTCACTGTGGTTTGTTGTTGTCTGAAGTATGTGATGAACGTTAGTTGGTGTCCAGTAGTTAATCGCGGTACCCTGAAACTGCGTCCAGTGAGGAAA